CTCCCGGTATTTTCAATGTGATGATTGCTTGGAGAGCAAGAGGTCAGTTCCGGCCTCAAAGGCTAGTTTCAACCGCGCCGATGTTCTTTGGCACACCCTTCAAGTGGACAATGCTCAATTCAAGGTGGGCACCAAGTCCATCAATGTGATGCTGATGGTTGACGAGGCATCGACCTTCATGGTTCCACATCTCCTTCATCAACTTGAGGAAGGGGAACATGAGAATGCGACTGGGGAACAAGTGGTCTTCAGAATTCCTGGATTCGCTTCTTTGGGCACCCCTCTGTCTTACGACTGGATCCCGAAGGCGCATTCCGTTCGCGCCTATTTGAGGAGTTCTGCACGACCAGAGACATAGAGCTGCTGCCGTGTGCAGCTGAAGCCCACTACCAAATAGGAGTGGTGGAAAGATCCATTGGTGTGCTTCGCAAGTCCTTGGAGCGCTTCATGAGGAGCAACTCCACGGACATCTGGGAGGCAGTGGTGGCAATGCGCGCTGCTCACAACGAGATGGGTAAGGTGGCAGGGTTCAGCCCTGCTCAATGGGCTTTGGGTCGCTCCTTGAGTCCTGATGAGAAACTTCATGAAGGACATCGAGACGCAGCGCATCTCTCACGAACAGATCCAGAGGTCTATGACGATGCGCCTGAAGGCTGAGGAGGAGTACAAGCGGCAGATGGCTCAGGAAGCTATCAACCGAGCATGGAATAGCAAGGCTCAGAAACGCACGATTTGGATGTGTGGCACTCTCGTGTACTATAAGCGGTACGAGCCCCCCTCTACCTCATTGGCCTCCCATCGGGACGTTGATGTGACTCGAAGACAAATTGCTCGATGGTACGGCCCTGCCAGAGCCGCGGCCACAGAGACGGCACCGGACGGCAACACCGCCCGACCGGGCCATACCGTATGGACCCCCGCAGCCGGGCGCCCGAAGCGGGCAGCCCCTGAGCAGCTTAGGACCGCCCCCGAAACGGAGAGAACCCTGGCAGAAGCTGGTGGACTTCCTCCCACATTTGATTGGACTGTTCAGAGTTTGTTGAAAGATGTTGAAAGGGGACACTACGACACGCATGATGATCACAGTCAAGCTGACCTCCCCCCTTCACTTCCAGTTCGATCCCGAAGTACAGGTCCACCAGTGTCTCGCCGTGCCGTTAGGTCTAGGACACCTGCAGGAAGACAAAAACCATCAAGGCCGAAACAAGAAAGTAGACAAGGCCTGAAAAGACCTCAAAGTTCGGATGTTCGACCATTAGGAAGTGAAGCGAAGAAGACAGGCCAGAACAAAGCGCAACCTACGGCTGAAGAGGCACAGCCTGCACATGGTTCCGCAGCTTCAACGCTTGGTTTCTTTGGATGAACCGGCCAGTAAAGCCCCAACCAGTAGCGTAGAGGTAGGTTCCTTTCAGCCCAGTCGCTATTTGAGCGACCCTCGATACGAGCCTAGCCATGGAAATGAAGCTGGAAAGACGTGGACAGGCGAGTTGAAGAGAAATCCTTTGTTCCTGGAGGCTCGTCGCCGCCACGAACTTGATGATCGTCCACTACATGTGAAACAGCAACAGCAAAAGGAACAAGCTGAACGTTCCTTTGTGTGTGAAGAACTATTCCATGGAGAACCTGACCGCGAAGCACCTCTCATGATTGCTCTGGCAATTGATTTGCCTGAGAAGGAAAAGGAGAAGAAAGCCTTCAAGAGAGATCCCATGACTTGGACTGCGAACAAGCTCAAGAAGCACGCGGAGGTGCGCATGGAGAACCTCACGGCCGAGCAGATCCAAGACATGAACGGGGCTAAGCAGCTAGAAGTGTCTCAGTGGATCCAAGCTGCTGCTTGCCGTGCCTTGGAAAAAAACCAAATAGCCCCCCGAAATCGTACCATGAAGATGAGATGGGTACTCACCTTCAAAAGTACGGGTAAGGCAAAGGCAAGAATCGTAATAGTTGGATTCACTGACCCTGACCTGTGTTCCTTAGCCACGACAAGCCCAACCATGAGTAGAAGGACCCGCCAATTGATGATGATGATGGCTGCTTGCTCGGGCTGGTCACAAGGTCAAAGAGCGAAGATCAACCTGATCTCTTGGAAGAGTTTTAAGGCTTTCAGCGAGGGCGAAGAAGAACTTATGTTCTGTCGGCTCGAATGGGCCGAGATGCTTGGTTTTGAGTTGGATCCCCAAAACCCCGAACAGTTGCTTCAACGAGTTCCTAGCTCAATGGTCACCGACGCTAAGTCTCTGTATGATGCTGTTCAGAAGGGTCGAATCAACACCTCCGGACTTGGTTTAACTGAAAAGTATAGCTCCTTAGAGTTGTTGTCGGTGATGGAACGGTTGGAAAGAGGAGCAACTGATACACGGTGGGTTGACAGCAATGCACAACTTGCAGACGCTTTGACGAAGCACCAATCGCAAAGCAGCCTGCTCCAAGCGCTAATCCATGGAACCTGGACATTGCAGTATGATCCTACTTTTACCTCAGCCAAGCGCAAAGCCGCTGAACTACAGCGAAGATCTTAAAAAGGTGTGATTGTATGTGCTTCAGGTTCCATGTCATGTCACCCTTTTCATGTGGTTGCATGTGTTCGCTTCCGATGAGCACCTTTCCGCTGCATTTGATCCTGAAGGGACCCCTTAAGCCTACGTATGACGAACCCGTCGTTCGGCTGCACGAGAAAGATTGGTTGCTCTGGCGCGACTGACTTCACCTTCGTGAACTTCGCTTTCGACAGTCGAAGGCTTCAAATTGCTACCGACACTACTAGGGGCTCCTGACTAGGGGCTCCTGTCCTCACTACTAGGAGGAAGGACGCTACTTGGGGTTCCTGGCATCGCTACTACGAGCAAGGACGCTACTGGGGGGCTCCTGGCCTTACTACTATAGGAGCAAGGATGCTACTATAGGAGCAAGGACGCTACTAGGGGCTCCTGGCCTGACTACTAGGGGCAAGGACGCTACTTGGGGCTCCATGGCATCGCTACTAGGAGCAAGGACGATACTGGGGGCTCCTGGCCTTACTACTATATAGGAGCAAGGACGCTACTAGGGCTCCTGGCCCTCCTACTAGGAGCAAGGACGCTACTAGGGGCTCCTGGCCTGACTACTAGGAGCAGGGACGCTACTTGGGGCTCCTGGCGTCGCTACTAGGGGCAAGGACACTACTAGGAGCAAGGGCGCTACCCTGGCCTGACTACTAGGAGCAAGGACGCTACTTGGGGCTCCTGGCATCGCTACTAGGGGCTCCAGGAGCAAGGACGATACTTGGGGCTCCCGGCATCGCTACTAGGAGCAAGGACGCTACTAGGGGCTCCAGGAGCAAGGACGCTACTTGGGGCTCCCGGCATCGCTACTAGGGGCAAGGACGCTACTAGGAGCAAGGGCGCTACTACTAGCTCCTGGCATCGCTACTAGGGGCCAGGACGCCACAAGGGGCTCCAGGAGCAAGGACCCTACTGGGAGCTCCCGGCATCGCTACTAGGAGCAAGGACGCTACTAGTAGAGTTTCCTCAATTCGTTGAATTCGTGTGGTTTATCACATCTCAGGACCTGGGACTGTTGGAGCACAGCGTGAGGTGACGAAGGCTTGGCACGCACGGTGCAACGGACTGCTGTATAATATAGTTACTAGTAGTGTCCTTGTTCCTAGTAGTACGGCCAGGAGCCCCTAGTAGCGTCCTTATAGATTCAGAATGATTTAGATATATAACAAACAGACTGCGAGGCAAGAGTTGTGAAGTCGGCATCTTTGCCAACGCTTCAGCTGTGACCTTAGATGGTGACACTTGCCCTTGGGCTCTTGCGCTTGAAGACTTCTCTTCTTTGTATTTTGATTGGTTTGGGGAGCCGGATGGTTTCTGACAGTTTCTCAGGAGATCTGCACCTGTCAAGACCAACTGGGCTACAAACTTAGTTGAGAAGTGACAAGGCAAAGCTGCCTCATTCGTCCTTCACGCAAGAGATTTGACACTAGCAACAATCTTGTATTTTTCTCCCCAAGTGAAAAGGTTGGTGTTGAACACTTTGACTTTGACACTTAGACTTCCACGTGAACTCTGACTGCTCAATATCTTTGCAGTCCGCAACGGTTTCCAAAATTGCGTTCCGTATTTGTTTGACAGAGGGATCTCTAGACCCTGTGAGTTCACCCTAGGCGACTATGGTGCCACGTCGCCCCCTTGATGGTAAGTGAGCCAGACCGAAGACTAGCAGCCCTAGCAATGCCTTGCCAGCAGGTTGGTGGCCTCACACTGTGGCCCGACTGCTTTGGTCTAGAGATCTGTAAACTGCACCAGTTGCAGGTTTCACATTTGCAAATCACATGTTTGAGCTCGAAATGGTCTTCCAAAGCAGGCTTACAATACGCCGGTAACTTTTACCTCCTCCTGGCACGTTGGAAGTGGAAGCCGTTTGCTCTCAAATATCATAAACACTACTTCTGCGCAAGCTTGAAAGTTTTGCCGACCAAGCCTTCCATTTCCGTTTGCAGAAGACCAAACCCGTCAGCTGTGACAGCATCTCTAGGACACAATAGGATTGGAAGTCTAATAAGTCCCAGCTGACAGACAGTTGAACTGTCCTGTAGGCGTCTATATTCAGAGATGTTTTTTGGGCTATCGTTCTAAGTGACAGTATGATCTCCAACCACATCAAATGGCTCTTGACTTGAGCAATGATAAGCCCACCTGCGTATATCCCTGCAGTTTGGCTAACCATCCACGCAGGGTAAATGCGGCCGCACCAACAAGCATACTGTGATGCTCACCCCTTAGGCATTGTCAACCAATCCGGTGCGGCTGTCAACAACAAGCTGTCCGTTTGAGGTCAGCCGAAGGTCTCAAAGTGCTGTGGTATCCTGCACACTGCACCAGAAAACGAAAATCAAGACGCCTGGTGCACGTCACACGTGTGTTGCAGACCAAGACCAGAAGCAACCACGTTTGATCCATCCAGACAGAATTAGGGGCAGCACGACAGAGTGGGTGATTCAGCATTGTCAGGTGGTCATGAAGCCTTTGGGAGAGAGCCTTGCTGAAGGTGAAGATGTGTTACTGCCCCAGATGACACGCATTGCGACCCAAAGATGAAGATGTTTGCCATCGTTATTTTGTTTTATGAGGGTGCATAACAACTCAAACGATGCTGCAACCAATAATCAATGCTCCTAGTTTCAAACTTTGATTCTGCTGACCTAGGGCTGATTCCGAATATCTTGGTGCAGCGATCGAAGCAACCAGCAAAAAGGCCTTGCGTCGGTTCCCTAAACAATTTGCGTGAACTTCACTGAAACCACACACAGTGTTTTCTTCACTGCGTTCGCTTTTTGGACCTTCTCTCGAAGGGAAGAACCGCATCGTGTTTTTTCATTGTTTTTCGCTGCTAACAACGACGTGGTTCGGGCATATATGATATGAGTTGGATTTTGAGCATAGCATTTACGCATGAACTGTCCTATAAACTGGGGCTCCCAGCGACTCATTTTGAAGGTGAACTGCATAGTAATATCTAGCAGATTCTACCATTTGTCCAGCTCTCCAGATCTCCGCCTGAAGCTGGCCAACACAAAATGATCCTAAAGTAGCTTGCTCTTTGGGAAAGAGCGGAGGAGAGTCTCCACGAACGAGCCGGTGGGAATCAAGACTTCTCAAGGTACATAGATGACTGTGAGGAGGCTCAATGGTCTTGAGAGTTTCTGGAGCTCGCATTTTGGGAGTGAACGCCTTCATCTAGCCCAGGGTCGAGACTTGGACAGAATCGAAGAAAGCCGACAGGCCGACACGGCTTGTTACAAATCTACCTCAAGCGGAGCAGCTAGAAGCTGGAGTTCAGGAACTATGAATAAGAGAAGTCATGCTCGTGGGCACCGGGGCTGGTGGCACAAGAATCGGTTTGTATGTTGATTGGCGCGGTCAAGACAGCGGCTGGTCGGGTGGCCAAGAAGGATCTTGAATTGGATGCTCGTGGTTGACATGGGCACCGGCCAAGATGGATCTTGAATGGTCTTGAGGCGTGGAGAAGACACGCGAGGATGCAGCATGTTCCATACAGGAGAGAGAGAGAGAGAGAGAGAGACTGTCCAGCATGCATTGAAACGGTGGAAGTTCAACATCCTCACAGGAGATCTTGCAACGCCTATTCGGTATTTTGTATGTGAGTGAGAGCGAGCGTGAGTGTGAGTGAGAGTGCGAGTGTGAGTGAGTGTGAGAGTGAGAGTGGGTGAGAGTCAGTGTGGGTGAGTGAGTGTGAGTGCGAATGTGAGTGAGCATGAGAAGTGAGAGTGGGAGAGTGGGTGAGTGTGAGTGCGAGTCAGAGTGAGTGTGAGTGCGAGTGGCAGTGAGTGTGAGTGTGAATGTGAGGAAGAGTGAAGAGTGGGTGTGAGCGTGAGCGTGTGTGAGTGAAGGTGAGAGTGAGAGAGTGGGAGTGAGAGTGAGCATCTGAGAGCACAAAGCGCTGCGCCTGCGCCGAAATCTGCGCTTGGAGGCTCACAGCAGAGCTAAAGATACAGAGGTCGACGGAAGCTGCCTCGAAATCTGCACTTCGAGGTTCACAAAGTGCTGTGCCTGTCACGAACTGGGCGTGTTGAGGTTCACGACAAAATGCTACCTGCCACGAACTCTGCGCATCCAGGTTCACCAAGCGCTGTACCTGCCACGAAATCTGCACTTCGAGGTTCACAAAGCGCTGCGCCTGCCACGAAATCTACACTTCGAGGCTCACCAAGCGCTGCGCCTGCCACGAACTCTGCGCATCGAGGTTCACAAAGTGCTAGGCGCCACGAAATCTACACTTCGAGGCTTAAGTGCTGTGCCTGCCACGAAATCTGCACTTCGAGGTTCACAAAGTGCTGTGCCTGCCACGAAATCTACACTTCGAGGCTTAAGTGCTGTGCCTGCCACGAAATCTGCACTTCGAGGTTCACCAAGTGCTGTGCCTGTCACACAATCAGCACTTCGAGGTTCACAAAGTGCTGCACCTGTCACGAAATCTGCGCTTCGAGGTTCACCAAGCGCGGTGCCTGCCACGAAATCTGCAAGCGAGCCACATGTCCAAGAGTCACGGTTCACTGCACCTGTCACGAAATCTGAGCTCTTCAACGATCACCACCATGTCCAAAGTGCTGCACCTGCCACGAAAACTGCATTTCGAAATAAAAACAGTTCCGATCCCTTGCACCTGTCACGAAAAGTTGCCACGAAAAATGACCACCATGTACCAAAATGCGCACGGCGCGACAACGAGAGCGCAGTCGCTAGAAGCACCCGCCGCGGACACCCAGATTCTGCGAGCCTGCGCAGTCGAAATGCACATTGATGACGTCGAGAGGCATGAATGTACTGTAAATAGCATCGAATTAGCCGTTCACGCCCGCGCGCTTCAGCGATCTAAGCATCAGCTGCCTTTCCCTTACCGTAAGAACCCCTCAGTGTGCCCACACTGTTTGGGGAAAAAAACCTGTATTCAGAGGTTTGTCCTCTGGGGGGGTTCAGCCAAGACTCTGTGAAATATGCTTGTTTGGTTTTTGATTTATGTGTTGTTTTCAATTTTTGTTTATATAGTTTTATATATATATGTATATTGTCAATTGGTCAGGCTTTCCTACTGGATGCAATTGTTGTACAACCATTTTTGGCAATGCAATTTTTTGACAAATGTTGACTCAAAAGAACACAAATTTGCGAGAAAACTGCACTGCCAGGAGTGCCCGTTATGTTTTAAAACCGCAATCATGTGGTTGCAACCAGTCGCTTGGGCTGAGAGTGTTCTTCCGGTGTGGCGGAAGCACTCTCAGGGGAGTCAGTGAGGACCGGGAGAGACCTCTTGCAATTTTTTGGAGTGTGTTTGTTTATTTGACAAACCTGGTCTTGCGAAGAAACAGGAACAGAGGGCGGGGGATATACTATATATACATGCAATTATATGCATTCGATGATTAACAACTTGGGTGGTGTTCGCTCACTGGAAAACTCATCAATCAGGGTGTCACGCAAAAACAAATAGATTTTGGCGGCTGCAAAGCTCAATTCACAACCGATGGTGCACCAAGGTGTGCTTGTTGTCGTGCCTTTGGACGCAGCTGTGGCGTGATGGGCTAAGAGCAGAATTGAATGGAGTTGATGCTTGGTGGTATTGCGAGGCAAAGCAGAAGATGGTTTGAAGTGGTGAGAGTAGAGTAGGCCTTGTTCTCATGCAAGGCCTGCCCTGACACTGCTTGTGGATGCGGCAATGGGCGTGATTGTGGCACCTTTTGCAACATTGGCGTGCGCCTTTGGACCTTTGGATTTTTTCCACGCTGCTTTGCAGTCCCCATTGCATCATGTTTGAGGCGCTGGTGTGCACTGTCGCAGTTTGCATTGCCCTGCTTTCCTACTGCAGGGAGCGATGCGTCCAGGTTGCACTCGAATTATATACCCAACCCCTTCACATTCTACCTTGACAGTGTTCAAAGTGATTGATAAGCGGTAGGGTCATGGCAACAGGCAAGGAAGAGCTACAGCAAGATCAGAGTACTCTTGCCTAGACCATCATTGATATAGTTTTGACTCAGCGTTGTTTCCGGATCTTGCTCAGGTAGGCCGGTTGAAGAGGACCTGTTCGTTCCAAATACCGGCTACAATAGTATCAGGTTCAGTGGTTTAGCAGGAAACTGCTTAAGGATATGTCCAAGTGGCATGGAGTCTTATGCAACTATACTAAATACAATACTATGTAACTATGAATGTATTTATATATACAGTATATAGGAAAAAACACATACAACATAGCCAAGTTGCAATGACAGAGATTCACCACATGAAAGCTTCACAGCATGCGCATTGGAGATCGAGTTTCACCTGGTCAGGAGGATCCTTACCTTTGGAAGTTTGAAGACCAAGATGATGAGAGAGCATGGTAGTTTGGAACAGCCGGTAGACAATGCATGCAATCCTCAAACCTTTCGAGTGGCATGGGAGAAACTCAAGCCAACAAAAAAACAAGTTGCTTGATTGTCATGGTGGCATCAAGTCGCACTTGTGTGCATTCAATTTGCAGTAACGACAGAAAAGAGGAAACACAACACAACAGACTCAACAGACACTCAAATACTCAAATGGAGGTTGTACAGACAGCGCCACCTCAGAGCCTTGCACGGCTGGCCGCCAAGTGGCTGGTCAAAAAGGTACGGAGCGACCTTTGCGCTGTCCAAGTCATTGATATTCTCTTGTATGGTTTAGACAGTCACTTCCCATGTCACAGTACGTCTCGTTTGCCGCTACTTCTTTTTCTGAAGAGGACACAATTTGAAGAGGCTTTGAAGAGCTGGAAACAAGCATTGAAAGAGACTCATACAAGCATACAATCACTAGTACGCTGGGAAGATGGCAACACAAATTGTAGCCTAGCAACCTGGATTCACACTTCTACCTGATTTTACTGCCACAATGGGCTCGTCGCGTGTGGGTTTCGAGCGTGGACACCACAAACTTGCAGATATGAGGACGCAAACTCCTGTATTGAGCAAGTTCAAAAGTGAGAGTCTGAAAGAAAGTAATGGAGAATGAATGCTTGTGGTTTGAAGCAGGATGTTTGCAAGTCAGCGAGGCTTTGTCGAAATAGAAATGACATGAACTGAAAACAGCCTTTCAGAGTCCAAGGCACTGAAGGAACCTTAATGTTTTTTTGCTTGGATCTTGGATCTACCCCACCGTCTTCGATTGGATCGGACTCTCAGAGGAGATATAGTGCGAGATACCGCTCCATGTCCTTTTTTGCCGGGGGCCCGGACTGCTTCATTCACAACGGCATGATGAGCCGCATAGCCTGACCCTTAATGTATTTGATGGGGTGCTCGCGAAGCAGTTTTTGCTAGCAATGGCAAGGTGGGAACCTTGACGCATCCTTTTCTCTAGCTAGCTGTTGTAAGGACAAAACATTCTACATATACAGCGGGGTTGACCATGGGCAATTGCAGTTTAGGTTCCCCACATGTGAGGAGTCTGAACTGAACAGACGCCTATGAAGTTTCCTTTGGGGATACCATTGCCCTGTTCTGGCAAATGGCAAAGTTAAAGGCTTACGCCCAACAGCGGGGGCAGCAAGCAGTGAGGGGAAGATGTAAGGACAGGTGCGGACTCGGAGATGTAAGGATCGAGGTTAGTATAGAGCAAGTGCGGACGCAAAAAAGACCTTGCCCGGCCCAAGGATGCGACGCGCGCACGTTCGTAAAACGCGTTTGATCATCATGTGGCGGGTGGTAAAGTTGCGAAACAAGATACCTTGTCAAAACAGCTTGGGAGACAGTAGGCAGGTGCAGTTCACACAGCCAGCTCAACAGGCAGCGGGCAAAAGAGGAAGCGTAGGACAAAACTAGCCTGCAGGAATGCCAAAACAACGCAAATATTTAGGGACAAGAACGCTACTAGGGGCTCCTGGCCTTACTACTAGGAGCATTCTTGCTACTAGGAGCAAAGGGCATCAGACCGCGGTGGCCTCAAGCTGGGACACGGGATGTGAGAGCAGAGACTCAGCCATGGAGCGGTTGCAGTGCATATTACGTCAGGAGACTTTGAAGAGGACGGGGACGAAGAGGTGTATAGTTGAAGACACAATAGACTTTTTCATTTCCGGCTCCCGGCCAGCCCGGCCACGGCCGGGCCACTGCCAGCCACGCGGCCATCCGCGCCCACGCGGCCAGCCAGCAAGCTCACGCGGCCAGCCGGCCAGCCCAGGCGGCCAGCCGGCCACGCAGCCAGCCCGGCCAGCCGACCATCTCACCAACAGCCGCCCGTATGTTTGGGGTCGCGGATAAAGTCCGATTCAGAAACCAAAAATCCGCGATCGGCAGTGCGGTCCCCGATTTTTCCGCCGAAGACGCGAAGCTCCGAAGACGCAAAGCTTCAGAGCTTCAACTGAAGACGCGAAGCTCCAAAGACGCGGAGCTTCACAGCGTGCCTGAAGACGCGGAGCTTCGGAGCTTCAACCGAAGACGCGAAGCTCCGAAGACGCGGAGCTTCAGAG